ATCTACGTTCCGCCCCATGGTCCTCCATCGAAAAATATGATGACCCTTCCGATGCACTCGCACAGTGGTATCAAATCTTTAAAAGTATCGTTCATAGACATGTACCTCTGTGGACGAAGAAAGTTAAGTCTTTACAGCTTCCAAAGTGGATGACATCAGAAATTCTCGCGGGAATTAGACAACGAGATCAATTGAAATTGCAAGCACGAAGCGGTGTTATACCATGGGAAACTTTCACACGCCAACGAAACAAAATAACAACCCAAATAAAACAAGCGAAACAGAATTACTTCAAACAAACATGACTCGAGGAAACTATGGAAACTGATGAACGATGCAGTGGACCTCAATATGACAAAGCAACACCTAATAAGATACTTGATAACACCGAGTTGATCACGGATCCAAAAAAAATCGCGAACATTTTCTACTCCCATTTCTCCCAAATTGCCAACACTGTTATCAAAGAATCTGCACATCACCAGCCTAATTTCGATGCCTTGCGTAATTTTGTGGACACTCCACTTTGCAAAGACCACCAATTTAAAATTCCGCCTATGACTTCTGAATATCTATTGAATGAGATCAACAACCTGTTATGTCACAAGGCAAAGGGAATTGATGCCATCAACGTCCATCTTCTCAAGATCGACTGCAATGATCTCCTTCCATCGCTTCTGTACCTCTACAACTCCAGCATAACCTCAGGCATCTTTCCAGACCAGTGGAAAATTAGCAAAATTACGCCGATTTTTAAGAAGGGTTCACGTACGCCAAGTCAAAGATAACTATAGACCAATCTTTGTGTTGTCAGTACTGTCAAAAATCGTGGAATGTTATTACGGATTACATCTCATAAGCTATCTTAACGAATACAACTTACTTACAAGCTCACAATTTGGATCACGGCCCCTTCATTCCTGTGAAACAATGCTACTGCAACTTACAAACACGTTACTTCATAGCATGGACAAAGGTGAACTAAGTGGAATACTTTTAGTAGATTTCCGGAAAGCTTTTGACCTGATAAACCATGAACTTCTCCTACAGAAACTTGCTATCTACGGAGTTAAAGACGCAACACTACAATGGTTCAGATCCTACCTAACAGAACGGAAACAACTCGTCTCAATTGGCCACTCAACCTCAGATCTCTTACCAGTTCGCAGTGGAGTCCCGCAAGGTTCATCTCTTGGGCCTTTCCTCTTCATCCTATTTATCAATGACATCCCTCTTGCAAATACTCAATGCAATTCCTATATCTATGTTGATGACACTACTTTAGCCACGTATATAGCTTTGATAAGCTAACAGAAGATAAACATATTGTGAAAACCAAGATATATTCATTGAGTATAGCTATAGGCTATATAATAAATTTCTGCCCCATTGATAGGGAATCCGAGGTATATCAATGTAAAGGTAGATCTTTCTCACCAATCATTGCAAGCCCTTAAGTATAGTGGTCCAACCAAGAATTGAATCCGGGTTTTACCTTGAAAGGCAAGCGTGCATGGTGACCATTCACGACACGACATAAGCTGGTATTAATGTTTTAATTTTTTCATTTATGCACGAATACCTGAAATAAAGTCTCGTCTTAATCCACATCTTGAAATTTTCAATATTTATATCTTGGTTCCTTTTTAAATTGTAGCGACCGGTAGTGTTAAATCTTTTATACTGCATGTATGCATGGTTTATTAATTGCACTGCATGTATTTGACTGCATGATTATATTGTATTAGATGTAGTTTAATTAAGTAATAATCAATTCACTTATGAATTTCTCAAATATAGCATTTATTGATTGTTATTTGAGTGATATGTTTATTATGTTGTATTAAGACGATTCGTGTAAGTAATGCATGCGCATCATTTGCACATGCTAATTTGCTTCCCTTGCAGTGTTGTTTTGGGGAGAAAAATTACCCCTAATTTCTATGGGGTAAAAATTACTCTCGTAACAGAGGTGCAAAAATTACCCCTATAAAGATAGGGGTAATTTTTACACCTCTCTCACGGGAGTAATTTTTACCCCATAGAAAACTATGGGGTAAAAATTACTCTCGTAACAGTGGAGTAAAAATTACACCTATTTTTATATGGGGTAAAAATTACTCCTTAAGAGTGGAGTAAAAATTACCCCATTTGAGAGGGGTAAAAATCACCCGAAAAAATCGAGGCGTTCATTGGACAACCATGTTACCCCATATTTTGGGGCAATTTTTACTCC